AAAAAAATATAGCCAAAAGTTTAATAAGTTATATAAAAATACTTTAAGAAAAAGTTTAGTAAGTAATATAAAAAAAAAATAATTTAAGTAAAGGTTTAGTAAGTTATAGGTTTAGTAAAAAATTTAAGTAAAGTTCAATAAGTAATTTGAGCAAAGGCTTAGTAAATAATTTGAGCGAAGGTTTGATAAGTTATATAAAAAAACACCTTAAGTTAAGGTTCAGTAAGTAATTTAAGTAAAGGTTCAGCAAGTAATTTGAGCAAAGGTTAATAAATAATTTGAGCAAAAGTTATAAAAAAGTAATTTGAGCAAAGTTTTAATAAGTAATTTGAGCGAAGGTTCAATAAATAATTTGAGTAAAGTTTTAATAAGTAATTTAAGCTAAGTTCAGTAAGTTATATAAAAAAATAATTTGAACAAAGGTTTAATAAGTAATTTGAGCAAAGGTTCAGTAAGTAATTTGAGTGGAAATTCAGTAAGTAATTTGAGCGAAACGTTTTATTATTACTCTGTATTTTGTTATTAAATAGTTTGTTGATTTGCATAATAAAAAATTTTTTACTTATTTTATCAAATGGGAGTCTCTAAGCACTCCTATTTCATTTTTTGATTTCAAAAGATTGATACACAAATAAAATTTTTTAAACTTTTACTTATTTCTAAAATACACTATTTTTTTTTAATTCTGAAACCTCTTAATATAGTATCTTTATTTATAAATTGTATTTAATATTTTAAAATAGCATATAAAACATAACTAATTAGCTTTACTAAAATGCACCATAGGTGTTAACTTATTATAATTGAAGCCAATAACTTCAAGTTGTAGCTAAAGCCAGTGTTGGGCTTGGATATTGGGTATAGACATTGGACCACCTATGTCTAGTCCAATTCAATCAATTGGACTGAACCTATTGGACATTGTTCAATAGTAATATATAATAATTTATAAATGCAAAAGATACAAATAAAAAAATATTTAAGACTTCAGATTCAATTTTTCTTAATACTAGCTTATTTAGAACTACAAATATTAATGTGATATGAAATTTATATTTATACTAGTTCTTTGTTTTAATAATTATCTCTCAAAAAAAGGTTCTATAAAATATATACTTAAATTATATAAACAATGATTCTATTACAGCTGTTCTTATAAATTTTGAGAATAAAATTATGAAAAATATTATATTTCACAAAATTATACCATCTAATTCTATCTTAATATACTAAGTGAACTTGTTCTATGTATAAACATACATCATATAAGTATATGTTTACCTTATAGTTTTAAATTTTAAGAGAAACAATGCTTAATTTTGAATTTTTGATCAAAATTTCAAAATTAAGCATCTTTTCTCTTAAAATTTAAAATTATAAGGTAAATGTATACTGATATGGTGTATTTTTATGCGTAGAACAAGTTTACTTAGACCATAAAGATAGGTTTAATTAATTTAATTTTGTAGATTTTAATATTTTCCATAATTTTATTAATAATATTATAAAAATATAGTCAGACCTCCCTAAATATACATCATCAGGACCAACTCTGGAGTGTGCATTTAGAGAGGGTTGCAATTAGAGAACACTAATAAAATCATAACATTACTATTATCATGTAATAAATATGGCTTTAGTAGCCTAGAAATAATGAATTTGATTGGCTAATAATCACGCGATTGCATTTATGGAGGGAGTTTATATAAGTGGGCTAGACAATTAGCGTGCAATTGCAGAATAAAGAATATGCATTTATCTATAAGTCCCATTATGGGGCTAGTCTTCTATCGTGCATTTAGAGAGATGTTGCATTTAGAGGTGTTGCATTTAGGGAGGTCTAACTATATTGTGATTTTTTAACACTTACTTAGTAAATCTATTTTTGGCTTCTAAGTAAACTTGTAGAATATTGTCTTGCAATCAAAATAGTAATTATTATGTTAAAATTGGCCTAGTAGATCATGAGATATAAGCATTTTAGTCTTCATGACTATATGCCTTCTTCTTTATTTATATAAAGAAGAAAACATATAATCGCGAAGACAAAAATACTTATATCTCACGATTTACTGGGCCAATTTTAATGATTTAACTGCCATTTTGATCGCAAGACACTCTTCTACAACTTTATTAGAAGTTGAAAATAGGTTTACTTAGCAAAGAAAAAAGGGGTTGTTGAAAAACTCCAAATTTGAAAATTTTAAAAACAAAAAAAAATTTTAGTAAATTGAACTGAACATGAACTTGACTTAAAAGTTCAATACTGAACCTGAACCTGAACTTGACCAAAGTTCAGTTCAGTTCAGGTTCATAGGAACACTACTTCACATTAATTGTTTATCTAAAATTCGTTATTTGATTGGATATAAATCACATGATCTTAACCGAATCCTGTTATTGGACATTATTGGACTGGATTATGTGTCCAATGTCCATGTCCAGTCCAATAGCATAAAAATGATTGGACATATGTCCAAGCCCAACACTGGCTAAAGCTATCTTTAGCCTAAGCCATAATTAGAGCTAATAACCAAGCTGTGGCTAAAGCAATCTTTACTCTGGCTTAAGATATGATTTAAAGCCATAGCTTGAGTTATAACTTTGTTAAGCTTGGCTTAAATCTATGGCTAAGCCGGCTTTTTGTAAAGCCAATGACATCCCTATCCTCAACTAATGATGAAGACACACTCTTATATACATTCTAATTTTACAGATTGTCAACATGGGACCTCAACGCTTACGCCGTAGATTCCACATTTTCTCAAGGCGCAATGATTACAAGTTTATGCAATTGCGTATACGCTCTACTTTGAACGTAAACGCTCTATTTTGAGTGTAAACGTTCTTGCATGAATTAAGCACCAAGAATACGTAATAATGCCTAATGCTACTAAGGTAAGATTAACATGACTATGATAGTACAATTATGGAAGGTAAGTAACAACTTAAAGAATTAGACAAATACGGAAGTGATGAGACACAGGAAAAATTAATCGTTACAATAGTAATTATCATAAATATTATTATTTTGACCTCTTTTCTAGTTACGGCCATACACAGTGAAAGGCTCCGGAACCCGTCCGATCTCCGAAGATAAGCCACTGATGGCCCAGTCAGTACTATGGTTGGGGACAACATGGGAATACTGGGTGCTGTAACTTTTTTTTTTTATAATTAGCGAATAAGTTTACTTATTGCCTATTAAAATAACAGAGATAAATAAGTATTTATTATTTATTAATATACTTAATAACTCGCTTTATTAAATAGAACTTGTTTGATAATTTTTATTCAAGTAAAGTAAGTGATCAATAAACCCATGGGAATAATGGCTCGAATTAAGTTTAATTTAGGCCAAAATTTGAAATTACACCACTGTGCGTTATTGAGTGACAATACGGTAAGTTTAAATCGTCTTATAATCCATTTAATTGTTCAATACTTGTATACAATTTGTTAAATAATAATAATTATAAAGTCCTACATAGTAACAACTTTTTTCAATAAAATCTGATAATGAAAGAAGATATCAAAAAATGGATTGTCCTACACCAAATACGTACTAATCACTAATCGTAATTAAAACCCAACCTATAACTTTTTTAAAACTTGATAAACTTCATATTCATCTACTGAAAATGCTTCATTCGATTCCCTAATAGGTTTTTCATAATATTGTTTAAGACATTTACAATCACGATCAATATTAAAATTTTTAGTCATGAGTAAATCTTGTCGAAAATATGGTCCATGATTTTTTGATGAACCGATTGAATGATAAACCTTTGCTCTACTAAGAATTGACATATCAGGTTTATCAAGATTTAAATTAAAAATAAAACTTTTACTTGTATAATAAAATTTTTCTTTTTTTGGTGATTCCCAATTATGTGGATTATATCCACCTAAAATTTCTTCTTTGTCCTTAATTTTTAAAACTGTTAATGTAGGCCCTATATTATCGCATTTACTATGAAAATCCGCAGGCGTAAATCCATCTTGACTACCCTTAACGAGCAATTTAAATTCGTAAGAATATTTAAAAGATTTGATTTTTTGAAGAAATTTTGTAATACGATTTTTATGTGCTTGATTAATCCAGCTGGAGATAAGTTTAAAATGTTGTCCTTTTAATAGATATTCTTCAGATACATCTTTTACGATAGGTTCATCGGAATTAATCAATGTATTTTCCAGATTTTCCAGAGGTTGAATAGATTGATTATTTGATTCCTTTTCTACCAAATTTTGAAGTGTCTTAAAAACTTCTTGAATATCTGGTCGTTTATCAGGATTCTCATTCCAACAATTTGTGTATAATTGAGTGTATTGATCTGGAAGGCCCTTTATGGGAGTTTCTCTTTTTCCAATAAAAATATTATGTATTATTTCATCATTGTTTTCATATGATTTAAAAGGAGGTGTGCAACTTGCAATTTCCCAGAGAAGAACACCCAAACTGAATATATCAGATTTCTTATCTCGTATATATTTTGGATCAAAATAACCAGGCATGTTATGGCCTGCCTGCTTTAATTTACAAAAATCTGATATCATTATATGACCATCATGTACCAAAACATTCTTAGGATGCTATAAATAAAAAAAGAAAAAAGAGAGAAAGATCAATACTTAGTCATCATTATAAAATAATTTTAAATAACAAAATTCTTACAAGATTTTTATGAGCAACATTTTCTTTATCATGTAAATGCATAAGACCATTTACAACTTGTGTTGCTATAGATAATTTGTCACACCATTTGAGTGTTGCAGAGTTATTTGCCAAATAGCCTCGTAAGTTGCCGTTATTCGCGTATTCTTGAATTAAAAAATAAACCTTGTTTTTATTATCCTTGGCTATCCCGTAGAATCGATTAATATTTGGATGTTTCGTGATATTATGCAAAGCTAAAATCTACATTTTTGCATAAGGTGCATATATAATATGATATTAGTGATAAAAGTAATTGTTTTGCTGTCGTGAATGTGAATATTTAATGTAAATTACAAACCTCTTTCAGAAATTTCCCACTATCATTTTTATCTTTAATTGTTAGACTTTTTAAAATAACTGTCAAATCACGGCTTTTCCAATAAACCTTCATCGTCTGGCTATCTGGATTATTATTAATTTCCGTAAAATCAGAGAATTTATTGCAATCATATAGATCAATGTTGTTTTGGCTTAAAGTTTTTTCAAGAAGTTCAACGAAAGCGTTATCTGTTTGTAGTTTTCTATACAACAAAAAACAGGCATTATTTATATTGAATAATAATTTAAAAATTACGTAGTCCAACAAAAGTTTTTATACTCACTTGTCAATCAAATCGGTCCCTGATATTGCCGAAGTAACAATGCTTCTACTTGAATTATTATTATTCTTGATATTTCCTATAGCCGTCGGAGTAACAACGCTTCTGCTTGAACTATTGTTATTTCTGATGGTAATGGGTATATCTTGATTATCCGTAACTGATCAAAAAAAAAGATTAGTAAAAATCTGATGAAAAAAAAACAAAATTTATAAAATAAATATTAATAATAACTTTGGTTTTTTGTTATTATAAATAAAGCACGTTTATAGTCTCTCAAATGATTATCCATGTTTGAATTTTTAGATGAATTAATATTGTTATCAGATAGTGTATTTTGTGTAATATTATTTGTAATAAATTCTATTGTCACGTTTGTTGATAACAAGTTCAGATCAGAATCAATTTTATCAAGTGTTGGGCGTTGGTTTTGATCAAAAGCGCAACATTTATTGTAAATATCTGCATAATCTGATGGCGTATTAGTAATAAGTTTCATTTTAATTGATTTATCGTCCAGAGGAATTCCGCTCGTGAGTTCCCATAATAACATTCCAAGGTGATTAATGTCTGATTTTTTATCGTATATGGCAGACTTTTCATCGTCCTGTGGATATTTTGATAATCCAAAATCAGCAATAAGAGCTTCACCATTGTTTATCAAAATATTTTTAGAATTCTATGAAGTTTACAAAAAAAAAAAAAAATCATAATTTAACATAGAAAAAATCAAATTCGAAAGATTAAAAAATTAACTTACTAAATCTCCATGAATAATTTCTTTTGCGTGTAAGAAAGTTAATCCAGTAACAATTCCTTTCGCTATTCGAATAACCTCAGACCACAAAATTTTATATGCATTTTCGTGCAATTTATTTTGCAAGAATTTACGTAAGCTGCCATTATTAGCATATTGTAATACTAATATAATGCCAACTTGCGGATCTAATAATACAATAAATTATAGTTAGGTATAAACTCAACTTTTTTCATATTAAATTTTATTTGTCATACCCCTCAAAATTCCATAAAATTTAGCAATGTTGGGAGCATTAATCTCGTAAAAAAGTTTAAGCTATAAATGCAATAATGTTAGTTCAATAGTTTGTTCTGTACTGTGATTAATTCAATGTCAAATAATAAATTATTTACTTCATGTTTTATTTTTTTAAATGATTTGTAATTCATTTGTGAATTAGGACTTAGTGGCTTTAACGCGTATTTTACTCCTTGAAATGTAGCCTCATGCACCACAGCAAGGTTTTCTCCTCCGATTATTCTAAGATTTTCAAATTGCGATTTATTATATATCTTTATGTCCAACTTTTTTAAATCTGATTCTAATGGATCTGAAAATTCCGAAACTAATACGAAATAAGTATGTGTTAAATGAATATGTTTTTTTTTATAAATACGACAACTTACATGTTTTTTCTGAATTTTGTATATAACTATCTGACTCATCATCACCGCTTTTCATACTATCAATATATTCCATGTTGTCTTCTGTTAACGTGTCTGAACTATCGTGCTAGTCATCGACTCCGATTGAAGCTCTAAATAGTCCAAATTTACCATTGTGTAACAACTTTATTCGCGTAGAGGTATACTTGTATTACATTATTCGAATTTATCAGCAGTATCACGTACTAAATTCCTTTTTTAATTGGTTTCAATACACTAACAAGGCGCACGTACTGTACGTACATAGTATAAGTTATTACAAATTGGCAGGAAATATTTTGGCATTGGTTCCTTGCGTTGCATAAAAGGCTCGAATGCTATTCTAGAAATAAATTAATATTGTAATAGCTTTTGTTCGCACCATACATGTAATATATATTGGTACGATTAAAAATTCATGTTTAATATAATTTCAATTGGCAGGGATATTTTTATTTTTAAGCTTGAATAATGGCGTGATGCCTCTAAAATAAGTTCTAGAAGCTTATTGTCGGCGTAACCTAAAAAAGGAATTATTACAATAACTTATAATCAAATGCATTGTTATAATTTCCTTTTTTAGGTTTCGCTGACAACATTAAATGTATACAGGCAACAAGTATTTGAAAGGAAAATTTGCCATCGCTCGTTGGAAGTATATCTTCCTAAATTCTTTAAAGTCTGTTTACGTTAGGACATCATTTATATTAGGATTAGATGTAAGTGGGATATATTTGCTCAATGAAGCGTTTTTTCTTAGAATGAAACGTTTGTTTTGAATTTCATGTTCGTGTTACATTACACTAAATTATTGCTCGCTATTGGCTAACATATACGGAAGATATATCTCCCGCGGGAGTTGCCACATCCATTTAGAGAAGCATATTAATAAAATTATGCATTATTTGGATCTGCATTCGAATTCGCATTTATTGAGGTTTTGTATCAAGAAGGTTGGTCTAACTATACTGCGCATAAGTTTCATAATTCATTAATCGATCTCCTTAATAAACCACTCTTTTTAATTTCAATTATCGGTATACTCGAGGCTGTCACTATAGCTTTTATCTCAATAACTTAAGTCACTTTGAGCATGCACTTGCGTTATTTTTCTATTCAGCCGTAACGATGTATGATATATGTTTTTACATGTCAATAAAGGAATTTCATTCAATGTTTCAGATCTTTATTGAAGTAGTTGCTTAAGAACTCTCTTAATAAATTGATCACAACGATGTCTATTATGTAATTTTATTTCTTTGTTTATACATATGGTTTTGCGCATGATTGTTTATGAATATAAATAACTTCCTAAACGGGTTAAAGTAAACTTGAAAGGATCAAATGAACTCTAAGTGATTGGGAAAAGAAAGAAAGTGTAAATGGGAGAAATTAACAACCTAATAACGGATGAATTACATATGCGATAACAAAAACAACGCTTTTTTGAATTGAAAACTGTTGCAGTTAATATGTATCGATAAAGACACTGCATATGCATTAAGTTGTTAAAGACTATCACCGATGCTCGATATTTATATATTTGAAATGATTAAGATATATTGAAGTTTACGTGATTTTTTTAGTAAAATTTTTGAGATACAAAATGTATCATATCTTTATTGTCAACTCTACCGTTACATTTTTGCTAGAACGTTATTAACGGTTTATGAGTCTTAGTAATAAATACTTCCAAATTGAATTTTGCTTATATATGCACTTATTGGTGACTATAGCACCGAAATTTAATAATAATGATAAATGAATAACCTGAGGAAAGTGATTGATTAATAGTGTAAATATGCTGTAAATAACGTTAATATGTTTCTGCATAAGATAGTTTTTTTGAATAACTATTACTCATATCATAATCTTTTAAAATTAAGTCTAGGCCTTATTGTAAATGGAAAAGCAGTTATCTACTATTTAACCTAGCATGACACGAAACATTTCCTACACGATACTTACTACGAAAATTTAATTACCCATAATTACACTTACAACGTATTTCCTTTGTTTACTTGAGTACTTTCGCCGTAGAAAATAATTACCTATACTTTCCTGATATGGATAGATAACATCAATTAACAATTATAAAAAAAAAAGGAATAATGAAAAAATAAAAATATGCAAATATTTATATCTCACGATATGTCATCTGGTTCTCCGGATCTGTCATCTGTCAAGCAAGGTTCATCACAAAGTTGTATAAAAACAGAATGAGCTAATAAGCAAAGTGATTTTATCGTTGTGCGTGGTAAAGTAGTACGATAATGTAAGGTAATACAGACCTTCAGAAATGAAAAATCCGTCTAACCGTACTTAAGTATACGATGATTGTATAATTTACATAACCGATAAGCACAAATGGAGTCATGCAAAACAGCAAAATGTGTTATCTTTCACTTGATAAGTAACGGAATTATACGAACACTTAGGCCAGACCAATTTAGTTCTGTGTTTTACATTACCCCTCTCTACCTTCTGGGGATGATGTAATACAGATAATCAAATTGGCCCGGCTTTAGGGACAGTGCAAATTCACATGATTCGTAGAGTAGAGGTGAAGACCGTGCAAGATAAAGATACTCGCTGAGTCACATATCGATTCGAAAACAAGTTCGCTACAGTATAATTTAGAAAAACAGTATCAAAAAAGTAAATGATAGATAGAGATGTATGTCACAGAGTGTGTTTTAATGCGTTGTTAAAATCCATAAATTAGTCTTCATTTTATAAAGTATATATGACAAAAATTTATAAAATCAGTTGTGTGACTGATACAGTAGCAAATACAACTTATTAACTCGACTAAAAAATGAATAAGTAGCTGCGCAACGCAGTTGCACGAAACCAGGAATGAGGAATGTATACTAGATTAGTATATTGTGGTGCTAGATATTATAAAGAAAAATCGAAAGACTAGAGAAAAAATTAAATGGGTTGGTCGTAGAGATGGGGCACAATACGCATTTTAGACCATATCATGCTGCATGGTGCACATGATTTTCATGGTTGCATAGTAAAAAAAACCAACTAATTGGTTTACTGTCTCTAAAGCTATTATAAACTCATTTGACACACTCGGGTGCACCATGCATAGCATGTAGGTATGAGCATCATGCACATGGTGCCCATCTCTAGTTGGTTGTGCCATAAAAATGCCGCGGTCTCGTGTTCACGGACCTTTTCCAACCCGAAAATTCAAATTACGCATTACATTAAAATACTAGTAGTTTTTAAAATTTACATAATAATTTAACTTTTGATATTTTAAATATAATGCGTAATTTGAATTATTGGGTTGGAAGAGGTCGATGATCACGAGACCGCGACATTTTTATGGCACGACAACCACCTGGAAAAATTGGATTATTGTCTAAATACATATGTAAAATGCACGCATCGGGAATTTTTTATATTTTTAAAATAAATAAAATAAAATTTATTATTAATTTTTTTGCAACTCTGTACAGGACTGCACTAAAAAAAATTTCCCGATGTTAATGCCTATTCGTTAGAATGTACCGATGAAGTGGTGCGATGTGAATCACGTCTGTACAGCTGCGCACTTGATAACTATATATTATTTAAAGGTATAGAAAATTCAACAATATTGTCTTAACCAATAACTTTAATTCATATAAAATTATACATATATAGGCTTTTATAACAATACCAATACTACTAGGGATGGATTATTTGATTTTTAATTGTTTAAATGGTTTAATATATCATTACGTGATCATCATGATTATGAAATTATACCGATACAATTCGATTACCGGTAATCATTAAATAGTATCTATTGATTATTAACGCTAATATTTAAATAATAATAATAATAATATTGTGAATAACTTTCTCGTGGAAAACCTCCTTTTGAAAAAAGTTCGTTGAACTTAAAAGTTAGGAAATTGACAAGCGTAGTCGAACGACACCTCTCTAAACATGTATTCATTGCCAAGAGGAGTTTGTTGATTTAATCAGTCAGTCAAAGGAACATTTAATAATAAGTGTAAAAAGCTTCCAAGAAATGTAACATATTATTAAAACTCAAAACTCTGGTTCACAAATTATTCATTTAAAAATATACATAATAATCTAACATCGTTAATAATAACATGTAACGGCAATAATTATAATAAAGTCGAAATTATAAAGAATGCATTTTCTGAAACTGAAATTAATAAATCAGGGGGTAGTTTTAATTTCAGCATCAGCTGTCGATGGTTTAAATTTTTTTTTAGCCCAATAAAAAAGTTTAAAAAACTATTTAAAAGTTTCTTGCCATCCCTAAATACTACTTTATATAATAATATATAGTTGAAAACTACTAGATAATGTTAAAAATTAAATTTGACCACATACAAGTTTGAAAGTTTTTTTTATCAATATCTAGAAAGTTTAGAATATTATCTAGATGCCTAAGCATTTACATGAGCACACATGAATGGGTTGATTAATTAAATCTCAATAAATTAGATAATTGAGCCTATTGAGATGAAAAATACTTAAACAAGTCTTAAATAATATGCATATTTGCTAACGAATAGTTACACATAAAGATATTTATTTATATTTTGAAAATCCCATTTTGATTTGGTATTTGTTTTAATTTTAAATTCTATTTTGACACTGTATTTATTTTAATATAATTTTTACAGTAAAAAAATGTCAATAATTCAAATACAAATTAACTTAACCTTAATTCATACTGTGGCCACCAGAATAGCAAGTTCTGCAACTAAATTTTTATGGTAACTCATGATAGAGTTATGATAATTCCACTGCAAACAAATCAGATCAACATTAACTATATAGAAGGCAAGTAAGTTCTGTAACAATTTTTACAGTAATTCTGCAATAGAAATCACAATAATTCTAATACAATCTACATAGAAATTATGGTAATTTTAATGAAGCTAACTCATAATTACAGGAACAGTGAGTTCTGTAAAGAATTTTTTATAGTAATTCATGGTAGAAATCACAGTAATTTTCAATATAAATTAGCTTAACCACATACTGTGGTCAGCAGCTCTGTGACAGAAT